GCCTCATCAGACGCCTGAGGCTCCTGCTCGGGGACATGACAGGGGGCCCCACCCCCTTCAGGGCAGGCAACCGCTCCCCGCCTTGCAATTCAGGGAGGGCTCCCCCCCCCGATCGAACACTCCCCCCTCCTGCAATCAATTCAGGGAGGGCTCCCCCCCCCGATCGAACACTCCCCCATCCTGCAATTCAGGGCCGCCGCCCTCCCCACCCGCCGGTGCGAATCTCCCCCCTCCCAAGCGTCCGCAGACCGCGCCCTTTCGGGCCTCAGGGAGCCTCGAACCTCGAACGTGCACAGGCCTCCCATTGGGGGGGGGTCCCCCTGGGCGCGTCGTGGCGCCTTGCGCGTTGGTTTCTGACACCGCGTGGATTGGTCAAACCTTGAACGATCAGCAGTTGTTCGATCAACAGATCGCCCATAAGGGCCTCGAAAATGAGCAGGTACCGACCGCCCTGAGAACCCACAAATGTTCCAAGAACTGTTCTTAGAACATGAACCCGACGTGTTGAAACAAGACAGCTTCAGCCAAACATGTTCTAGGAACATCTCGCGCAGACCACAAGATGCTCTTAGAACATGTTTGGTGGGCTTGCAGGGAAGCCAGGACGCTTCGCCAGTGCTTGACAAATGGGGTCTGAGTAGAGATGAGGTCGGAGGATCGCGCCGCATCGCCGATGCATCGGCGATGCATCGGCGATGTATCGGCGACGATGGCGATGCATCGGCGCCGTCGGCGTGGAGAACATCGGGCCCAACGTCGAGCCGCATTCCCGACGCATCTGCGGTGAAGCGCGATCCGTCGACCGAACCTTCTGCAGCAACTCCTGAGAGCCTCCCATGCCATCTTGCTTGCTCTTGCGAATCGACGCTAAGCGTCGCTAATCGACACTAGTCGACGCTGTATCGAAGCCAACCGCCGCTGACTGTGTGTTTTTCCGTCGGCTACCAGACGCTAGCGCACGCTGAACCACTCTGAAGATGGAAGTAGAGGACACACGGGGGCCCCATGACTTGCAACCGAACCCATCTCCTCGGAGGGGCAGGGGGAGGGGTGAGGGGGAGGGGGAGGGGGGAGGGGGAGGGGGAGGGGGAAGGGGGAGGGCAGGCGCAGGGGGAGGGGGAGGGGAGGGGAGAGGGGAGCGGGCATAGGGCAGGGGCAGGGGATTGAGAAGAGGGGGAGGGGGGCGGGAGGGGGAGGGGGAGGGGGACATTGCCTGGGAAGCCTGGAACTCCAACAGCTCATCCTGGGCCCTCTCCGGGACACTCCGGCGGCGTTCCACCCCGAGAGCCCGCGGCGACGGGCCCGCGGCCGCGCCGACACGGCACGAGCCTGCGGGAAGCCCCCCTTGGGAGGGGGGGGGGGGCACGGCGGCGGCCAGACCGGGACAGATGAAGGGGCCCTGGGACACACAAATAAATGCACACAAATAAAAGGATTCCCCATATTTTCCTATATTGTCTGGGTTTCTGTCTTCCCCACCACTTCCCATAGTTTCCCATATTTTCTGGGGAGTCCAAGATTAATTGTGTCTGTGTGTTTATTTCCCTCCTGAGCTACGGCGGCGGCCAGACCGGGACAGAAGAGCATCCTTCAAGAGCATGAGGCCCTCCGCCGGCCAGACTGCAGAACAGTAGAGGGTACCCTCCCCCAGGACGCACAGGAACATCCAACGGGCACGAGGAGCATCAGGGCACCCTCCCCGAACCGATCTCGACCTCACAATCACCTCGGTCCGACCGTACCCAGCGGGGGGACGAGGCGAGGCGAGGCGAGGCGAGGCGAGGCGAGCGCGCGATGTCGGTCCGGTGGACCGGCCCTATGGGAGGGCAGCGCGGCGGGGCCGGAGCCCTCAGCGGTCGAGGAGGTGGGGAAGTGAGCGTCGGGTGTGAGTGCGAGTGGAAGTCGAGAGGTGGAAGTCGAGAGGTGGAAGTCGAGAGGTGGAAGTCCAGCGGGGGGGAGAGGGCTCAAAGATTCGCCCCTACGCAAGGAGCGGCCCTGGGCAGGCGTGGCATCCGGTGCGCGCCCTTCGGGCGGTGCCCGTCGAGACGACGACGGGCCCCCCCCCTGGCGCGTTGTCCAAAGAGGGAGGAGGAGGAGGGAGGAGGAGGAGGGAAAAGGAGGAGGGGGAGGAGGAGGAGGAGGAGGAGGAGGAGGAGGAGGAGGAGGATGAGGAGGAGGAGGAGGAGGAGGAGGAGGAGGAGGGGAGGAGGAGGGGGGAGGGGGAGGGGGGGAGAAGGGGAGAAGGGGGAGAAGGGAGTGTAGGGGGGGAAGGGGGAAGAGGAGGAGGAGGAGGAGGAGGAGTGAGGAGGAGGAGGAGAAGAAGAGGGAGGAAAGGAAAGAGGAGGTAGGTGGAGAAAGATTTTTTTTTTTTTTTTTTTGCATGGGACCATGCTGCAGCCCACGTACACCGCTCAGGGTGGGCGAAGCCCTGAGGGGGCAGCCGCCGACCACTGTACGGACGGTCGGCTCTGAAAGACCCGCGAGGGGTGGGTGTGCCTGG